AAAACTTGTGTCTGAAGTCGAGAGTTTGTTGAACAAAATCTCGGACTGGTGGCGACTAAATTTAGTCCAGTTTAATCCCCAGAAGACACAAGTTTGAGTGTTTACCGCTATAATAAACCCCTTCGCCGTATCTTCTCAGTTTCAAGGCACTCCCCTTGTTGCCTCAGCCTATACCGGAATCCTCGGCGTCGACATATCGAGTGACGTGCAGTTTCGTAGTCACATGGAATAGAAGGCCAAATTGGCCTCTAAAGAGCTTAGCGTGCTCAATAGAGCGGGACAGTATTTTATGCAAGCACACCGCCTGCAACTTTACAACACGGTTCGGCCGCACATAGAATACTGTTCCCATTTCTGCGCCAAGGCTTCCCAGTGCTAGCTTCTTCCATTTGATCGCATCCAGCGCAGAGCAGTTCGAATCGTCGGCGACCGAGCTTGATTCAATGGCACTGCAAAGAGATGTTGCATATCTTTGCGTATTTTATCGCATCTACCACGGAGAGAACTCTGAGGAATTGTTCGGACTAATTCTGCTGCACAATTTCAGCATCGCACATCATGACAAAACTTGCTATACCATCCAAACCATCTGGATGAACGGTGGTCCACCACTGTGCGATTTAAAGGAAGTTTTCTTCCTCACACAAAGCACAAAAAGTTTCTTGTGGAATCGACTACCACCAGAGATTTTTCCGGACCGATACGACTTAGGGATCTTCAAGAAAAGAGCCTATTCCTTTTTTTAAAGGCCGGCAACGCTTCTGCAATCCCCCTGGTGGTGCAGTTGTTCATGGGCGGCGGTAATCACTTACCATCAGGTGAATCGTACGCTCGTTTTCCCCCTCTCCTACAAAAAAAGAGTAATTTAAAAACATCTTACGATGCAGTGGTGAAGTTTCTGGGATATAAACGTCATGCTGTCTAAAACTGAGTAAGAAAACAGAGAACGAGGAACAGATACTTATTCAATTTTGAGTAAGAGCTGCCGATGGAAAAGTATTGTTCTCTGACTCCTTACTCGAATAGCTACCGTTGCGCTGCTGTACAAAATTTTCATCACTACAATATAAATATCAGTCGGCTTGGCAGCGCTGAAGATATTGTAGCATCACCTAAATTTTGTTGAAATGAAAAACTTATTCACGGCTTTCTCACAGTCCATTTATGCAAGAAAAAGTGGAAGATTGTACTTTGCTGTGTTCTGTAAAATTTGTCGAATGGGGTTTGTGGTCTGTGGTAATAAAGCCTTCGGCTTCGGCTACGGCTACGGCTTCTTTAAGAGGTCGAAAGTCCTCAAGTCAGCGTCTGAGATGGTTCGTTATGACATAGACGCAGCTTAGAAGAGAAATCAGCCTATAGCTCTTCAATAGAGCGTTGTCGTCTTTTTTGAAACAAAAAAAAAACTAAAAGAACCTATATAATAAGACAATAATCATTAAAATCAATTCAAAATTAATGACAAATTAATTTACATACAAAAATTGAAACAAATAGTCGAGTTTTAAACCGAATTAAAGACGAATTTTCGAAACCAGCTACATCACTAGCTAGTGATTCTCAATACATAGACATAGACATTTAAATCCATCATTGATTAAGAAACATAATTTAGATGCGCTTCCACCCCCGATTAATAAGATGGAACGCCTATTAATCAGTAAAAAATGCTTGCCAGGCAGACGTTATTCTGCCTTTTCGACGACCCTCTGTCATCCTCCTAACCCTCCTCCATCCTTCTAATACTCCTAACCCTCGGCCGTTTGGTCTCCACTGCCGAGAGCTTCCATCTGGTTGGGCTTTTATTTATTTATGTATTATTGTATTTATTTTATTTTAATTATATTTATGTATATTTAGGTTTTCATTTTAATTTATAATTATATATTTATAGAACCCAACCAGATGAGAAAACTATATAGATACACCATATAATAATAATAATAATAAAATGGCGTAGGGAATTGACGACCCCATCGCCCGCTGACGTAACAGTTAAGTGACAAAACTGCTACGTCAACGCAGTCAGTCAGCGCCTTGCGAGAGGTGTGAGCGCCGTGCCTCGGCAGAATTTAGGGCGCAAAGGTCTGTTTGTGCTTATGGCCGTACACGATACGGTGCCGGGCCTGGGCGTCTCCCGTTAATGGACGCCCAAACCATGGATGATGGAAAAAAAGATAGTGCGCAAAGGGCCGCTACCTGTGGGTCGCCAGGGCGCGTCTGGAGCTGGCGCTGGACGCGACAGCATGCGTGCCGCCAGCCGAGCGCGGGGTGCTGCAAAATCACCTAGCAGCCCCTGCATCCATCATCCCCACCAGAAGGCTGGGTCTTGGCCACCGCTGGTGGAGCACGTCGCATGCGTTGGTCACAATTAATGAACGCAAACGCACTGCACTACATTATTATTATTATTGTGGGATATCAACATAGTTTTCTCATCTGGTTGGGTTCTATAAATATATAATTATAAATGAAAATGAAAAGATAAATATACATAAATATCAATAACATAAACTAAATATAAAAATAAATAAATAAATACAAACCAGACGGAGGCCCTCGGCAGGCGAGACCAAATGGCCGAGGGTTAGGGGGAAAGGGAAAGAAACCGGCGGACGATGCGGGTGGTATCGAGGAGCACCGCCTTCTGCATTTGAGCTTGGAGCGTCCGCCACGTAGTCCCAGCTGCCTCAGATGACCCGAGAGGCTGACTGGGATTAGCCCGTTCGCAGAGACGACTACAAGAATAATTTCGGTCGGCAGACCACCCCACATGTTGGTCACCTCATGAGCCAGGTCCAGATATTTTGTTTGCTTATCTGTTTCGGCTTTCACGAGGTTCTCGTCATACGGAATGGTAATGTCGACCAAAAATATCCTTGACTGTGACCGGTCGTCCATCAGCATAATATCAGGCTTATTCGCAAGAATAGTCCTGTCTGTGATGATGGCCCGGTCCCAATAGAGCCTGGCGCGATAACTTTCGAGCACGGTTTCCGGCAAGTACTTGTAATACGGCAATTTCCGATCCACGAGACCATATTTCAGAGCGAGCTCCTGCTGAAGAATTCTGGCTACTAGGTTGTGCCTGTGCAAGTACTCAGAGTTAGAAAGCGCCGAACAACCGGAGATGACATGCCTAAGTGACTCATCGGGATGGCGACAAGCTCGACATATGTCGACGGTGCCATACTTTAGGATGTATCTCCGATAGTTGTTGGTCTTAATAACCAGATCCTGTATTGTACAGACAAAACCCTCGGTTTCCCCCGAAGAGATCGCCAAAGCGTAGCCAGTTGAGGGAGGCTACCGTGTCTACGAAAGGCTCATGTAGAGCCTTGTAGAACCTCCCGTGGAGCTCCTTCTCCTTCCATACGGTCTCCCGGTCGGAAATGCTCTGTACTGTCGGGTCTTGCCATTGCTCGTTGGCTAAGGATAGAGGGGTAAGTCCTTTATCACAAGAAATGACGTCCTTATAGAATGGATCATCCGATCTCGCCAGGAAGTAATCACGGAGGCTGCACACTTCGCGATTATGCATGGTGAGCGTGCTCAAGAAGCCACGACCACCATGCTTCCGCGGCAAGTACCGCCTCATTACCGACGATCTCGGATGATGCATCCTATGGGACGTCATGGTAGTGCGGACTTTTCTATCCAGGGCGTTAAGTTCAGTCTGAGTCCACCTTAGTATGCCAAAGGTATACATGAGGACTGGCATGACCCAGCCGTTATATGCGTGGGCCTTATTCACACCGGACAAAAGGCTGTTAAGCACTTTGGTCAAGCGTGCATAAAACACGTCGCAAACTGACTGTTTCATACCAGTCTCATCGCTACCGATGTTTTGTGACATACCCAGGTATCAGTATGTTTCAGCCTCGGAAAGGGTTCTTAAGTTGACGGGCATAGATAAGTCTATGCCCTCAGAGTTAGCAACCCTTCCCCTTTCAACATGGAGGACCGCACACTTATCCGTCCCCAGCTCCATTCCAATGGAATTGCTAAATTCACAAGTGATGTTTAGCAATTCCATAAGATGGGAGCGACTGGAGGCGAATAACTTGAGTTCATTCATATAGAAAAGGTGTGTCACTTTTGTCCCTCCTTTCCGTAGCTGAAATCCCCTCCCGAAGACCTCCAGTAAGGTACTGAGAGGGTTCAGAGAGAGGCAGAACCAGATTGGATTTAGACAATCGCCCTGGAAGATACCCCTTCTTATCCTTATGTGGTTCTCCGCAGCCATCCTCCGCTCGCCCAGATGACAAAGGATCGTACTCCACTGCCCTATACACTGCTCGAGGAAGTCTTTAACTGTACAGTCTAACTTGTACAGCTCGAGGACTCTCTTTAGCACTGTATGAGGCACCGAGTCGAATGCCTTTCTGTAGTCTATCCAGGCGGCGGAGAAGTTCCGACGGTTGCGTTTCACCACTTTGCCAATGACCGCGTCAATGAGGAGTGATTCCTTGGTTCCACGACCACCGCCCCGACATCCATTTTGAGCGCGCGACATCACCTGATTTGAGTCCAGATGACGAGTGATTCTCGCGCTCAAAATGGATGTTAGTGTCTTGTCGGACTTTAGGAACCAAATGAGTGATCCCAGTAGTGAAGAGGCTTGGGAGCGACTTCTGGTTGAGAGCCTCTTGAAACTGACGGGCGAGCACAGAGTGTCACACCATGAACCCCTTCAGCCAGTAATGATGCAGCCCGTCAAGCCCCGGACTTTTCCAGTTCGGGGCCCTACGGACCGCGTCAGCTACGTCATCCGGTGTTATGATGACGGGGTCCATGGGCGTAATACCCGCACACTGACTCGCCACAACTTTCGTGCAAATGCCCTCGCTGTGGTTTACGGGCTATGACCACAGCCGCGCCAGAATGCTATAGTGTCGGCCTGATTCGGTGCTGGGCCCGTTCCACTTACTATTGGCACGCTCCAATGATGCATAGAGCCTCTTATGATCACTCTGGAAGAGACGATTCTGGTTGAACCGTGTTCACCTCTTGGTATATCGCCGAATCCGCTTTCCCCAAGCAGCGATTCTTTGCTTCGGATCATCTATGCGCTCCGTCAGTTTTTGCGTTATATCCGGCTGGGACAAACTGACATTTGTCCCAGCAAACGCCATCCTGACGGTGCGCACAATTCTTGGCCTGTTATTGCCTGATCTGAAGCATATCAGTCTGCCGATGAGAGCTCTAGCCTTTGCGATACGTTCCTCAATTCTTCTTCTCCATGCTGGGATAGCGCTACTATGGCCAGTAGCGCGTCCAGCCGTAGAAACCTTGGCGCCTATGATACGGCAGACTGTCAGCGTGGCGCCAAAAAGAATTGAGCCCATCTCGCAAAGGTACCGGCTGGCTTCCAAATAGGTCACCAGCATTGGGTTCGGAGCCCTCACGACAGCCCGATTCCGTTTGCTTAGGGCTATGCGGGGAAGTCGCGGTTAATTTTCGAGAGCCGTACTGCGCGTTTCCACAATCGCCTCTTCCAATGTACTCCTCGTATGCTCTAATTCCAGTTCCTGGGCGACTGTTCCATCATCGTTTGAATCAACCACAACTTGGGTATTCACGGCGGCATCCACGTTTGCGGGTTGCTCTATCATTTGTGGCGCTGCATCCTCAGCCATAGCATTTTCATCCGATGAGGGAACAGCCTCACGCCGTAGCCGTTCGAGTTCAGCGACATCAAATATATTTGAGCGCAAGATATACCGAACTCGGTCTGCCAGGTTTTGCTCTGTGACGGTTAAAGATGGCTCCAGCTCAGCAAAAAGACGATGCATCCTAGCCCGGTACGCCAAACATCCAGTTTCTTCCCGTTGTGCCCTAAAGTACGCCCGCAGTGCGTTTGTTTTCATTGCTTGTGACCAACGCATGCGACGTGCTCTACCAGCGGCGGGTGCCGCTTGCTGAGCCCGAGAAGACCCAGCAGACACCAAGCCTTCTGGTGGGGATGATGGATGCAGGGGCTGCTAGGTGGTCTTGCAGCACCACGCGCTCGGCTGGTGGCATGCATGCTGTCGCGTCCAGCGCCAGCTCCAGACGCGCCCCGGCGACCCCCAGGCAGCAGCCCTTTGCGCATTATCTTCTTATCCATCATCCATTATTTGGGCGTCCATTAACGGGAGACGCCCAGGCCCGGCACCGTATCGTGGGGCCATAAGCACAAACGGGCCTTTGCACCCTAAATTCTGCCGAGGCACGGCGCTCACATCTCTCGCAAGGCGCTGACTGACTGCGTTGACGTAGCAGTTTTGTCACTTTACTGTTACGTCAGCGGGCGATGGGGTCATCAATTACCTACGCCATTATTATTATTATTATGGGTATCTGTATAGTTTTCTCATCTGGTTGGTTTCTATAAATTTATAATTATAAATTAAAATGAAAAGATAAATATACATAAATATCAATAAAATAAAATAAATACAAAAAATACACAAATAAATAAAGATCCAACCAGATGGAAGCCCTCGACAGAGGAGACCAAACGGCCGAGGGTTAGGAGGAAAGGGAAAGAAACCGACGGACGATGCGGGCGGTATCTATTATTATTATTGTGGTATCTATATAATTTTCTCACATGGTTGGGTTCTATAAATATATAATTATAAATTAAAATGAAAAGATAAATGTACATAAATATCAATAAAATAAAATAAATACAAAAACTACATAAATAAATAAGATCCAACCAGATGGGAGCCCTCGGCAGGGGAGACTAGACGGCCGAGGGTTAGGGGGAAAGGGAAAGAAACCGGCGGACGATGCGGGCGGTATCGAGGAGCACCGCCTTCTGCATTTGAGCCCGGAGCGGTCCGTCACGGAGTCCCAGTCGCCTCAGATGACCCGAGAGGCTGACTGGGATAAGCCCATTCGCAGAGACGACTACAGGAATAATTTCGGTCGACACACCACCCCACATGTCGGTCACCTCGTGAGCCAGGTCCAGATATTTTGTTCGTTTATCTGTTCCGGCTTTCACGAGGTTCTCGTCATACGGAATGGTAATGTCGATCAAAAATATCCTTGACTGTGCCCGGTCCATCAGCACAATATCAGGCTTATTCGCAAGAATAGTCCTGTCTGTGATGATGACCCGGTCCCAGTAGAGCCTGGCGCGGTCATTTTCGAGCACGGCTTCCTGCAAATACTTGTAATACGGCAATTTCCGGTCTACGAGACCGTATTTCAGAGCGAGCTCCTGGTGTAGAATTCTGGCCACTAGGTTGTGCCTGTGCAAGTACTCAGAGTTAGAAAGCGCCGTACGACCGGAGATGACATGCCTAAGTGACTCCCCCGGGATGGCGACAAGCTCGACAGACGTCGACAACGCCATCCTTTAGAATGTATCTCCGATGGTTGTTGGTCTTACCCCTTTCGCTCGGCTAACAATCTAATCAGATCATACAATACCTACCTTACGCCCGCTCAAGTACGGGGCTAATTAGATCAGATAATATCAGAAGTACTGCCTTATGAAAAAACTACTTTTTCCTTTAAAACAAAACCAAAGACAATATGCAATAGATAATAGTATCAAAGACAAAGATATGCTCTTTTATTTTAAACCATAACCTGGCAATGTTTCTTAGAAAAAAAAAAAAGAAATCACTCTAAACTTTCGGCGTTCCACGTGTCGTTTTGATGAATGTGCTCCATCTTTTTTATAGAATTTTATAATTGTGTCTGGACTAAAAACGAAAGTATTATACTTTTTTATATTCCTTGTAATATAGTGAACACGAAGATATATAATTTGTGGTATAAAAAGTGAAAAGTAAATTGCCAAAAGTGCATCAAAATCTGGAAGGCCCATTATGGCGGCTGGGTCGTAAATGCGTTATTTTTCATATTCTCATTTATTTTTAGTGTAAAATGTAAGTAAAAATAGTTTTCTTATATATTTCAAATAACTTGACGTTGTATTTATTTCAAATTCACACATAATTATTTTTGAAATATTGTTCTAAATGTCACACAGATAAAATATTATTATAGTTTTTTTTATATTTCAATATTTTGGTATGAGTAACGAATGAAAACATATAAAACATAAAAATATACATATTTCCAAACATTTTCATATAAATTTCTCCAAAAAACAAAGTTTAGAATTCAAATTAGTAGTAATTTTGTCACTAAAATTGAAGTATATGTTACTACTATGCTATATAGGGTAATTTATGTATTTTATTACAATTTCTAGCAACCAAAAATAATTTTATTCGATAGTTTATACATTCAACAAGAAATCCTGTAAGTTTTATCCATAAAATATTGTCTCAAAGTGAAAATATAGCAAAATTTGCAATATAGCAAAAAATTTGCTAATTTGCAAATTTTCCCGCCATTACGGTCCCGAGCGAACGGGAGTATAACATGTCGCGCGCTGTCAGAGCGAAAGGGTTACTAACCTATCCTGTATTGCACAGACAAAACCCTCGGTTTCCCCGAAGAGGTCACCGAAACGTATCCAGTTGAGGGAGGCGGCTGTATCTACGTGAGGCTCATGTAGAGACCTGTAGTACCTCCCATGGAGCTCCTTCTCCTTCCATACGGTCTCCCGGTCGGAAATGCTCTGTACTGCCGGGTCTTGCCATTGCTCGTTGGCTAAGGATAGAGGGGTAAGTCCTTTATCACTAGAAATGACGTCCTTATAGAATGGATCATCCGATCTCGCCGGGAAGTAATGACGGAGGCTGCACACTTCGCGATTATGCATGGTGAGCGCGCTCAGGAAGCCACGCCCACCATGCTTTCGCGGCAAGTACAGCCTCATTACCGACGATCTCGGATGATGCATCCTATGGGACGTCATTGTAGTGCGGAGTTTTCTATCCAGGGCGTTAAGTTCAGTCCGACTCTACCTGAGTATGCCAAAGGAATACATGAGGACAGGCATGACCCAACCGTTATATGCATGTGTCTTATTCACACCGGATAAAAGGCTTTTAAGCACTTTGGTCAATCGTGCATAAAACACGTCGCAAACTGACTGTTTCATACCAGCCTCATCGATACCGATGTTCTGTGACACACCCAGGTATCGGTATGTTTCAGCCTCGGAAAGGGCCATTAAGTTGACGGGCATAGATAAGTCTATGCCCTCAGAGTTAGCAACCCTCCCCTTTCAACATGGAGGACCGCACACTTATCCGTCCCCAGCTCCATTCTAATAGATTTGCTAAATTCACAAGTGATGTTTAGCAATTCCATAAGATGGAAGCGACTGGAAGCGAATAATTTGAGGTTATCCATATAGAAAAGGTGGGTCACTTTTGTACCTCCTTTCCAAAGCTGAAACACCCGTCCGGAGCCCTCCAGTAAAGTACTGAGAGGGTTCAAAGAGAGGCAGAACTAGATTGGACTCAGGCAGTCGCCCTGGAATATACCCCTTCTTATCCTTATGCGGCTTTCCCCAGCCGTCATCCGCTCGCCTAGATGACAGAGGATCGTACTCCACTGCCCCATACACTGCTGGAGGAAGTCTCGAACTGTACAGTCAATCTTGTACAGTTCGAGGATCCTCTTTAGCCACGTATGGGGCACCGAGTCAAATGCCTTTCTGTAATCTATCCAGGCGGCGGAGAAGTTCCGACGGTTGCGTTTTACCACTTTGCCAATGACCGCGTCAATGAGGAGTGGTTCCTTGGTTCCACGACCGCCGCCCCGACATCCATTTTGAGCGCGCGACATCACCTGATTTGAGTCCAGGTGACGAGCGATTCTCGCGCTCAAAATGGATGTTAGTGTCTTGTTTATGGTTGGTAGACACTGATTATTATTATTATAATTAAAGATATATTCAGCGGGCTTTACACCAAGCTAAAATGATATATCTTATGTGTATAGAAGCTATAAATAAATAAAAATGTGTTCTTACTTCTTACCTATCATAGGACAAAAAGTTACGCACAATCCTACAGGTATTTAAAATAACAGCTTTCTGTAATTCTACATATATTTAAGACTGTAACTGAAGTAATTTTAGACTATAATGTAAGGATTTTGGTACTACTCCAGTAGCCGAGATGACAATATAAACCACTTTTAGGTCTTTGGCGTGCCATTGACTTTTTATTTCCATTGTCAAATCGTAGTATTTTGTAATATTTTCAGTGAATGTTTGACTTTGATTGTGGGTTTTTGGTATAGCTATATCAACGAGGTAAACGGATTTGTCATTTTTATCAAATAAACTTAAGTCCGGTCTACTATAGTGAACAGTCTTATCAGTTATTATGGTTCGATCCCAGTACAATCTAAAATTAGCGGATTCTAAAATTATTTCAGGTATGTATTTATAATAAGCAACTCTGTGTTTAATTAGTTTGTGATAATACGCTAATGATTGATGTATAATCGATGCAACCTGATCGTGTCTGTGCTTATAATCGGTTTATGCTATTGCTTTACATGCCCCAATAATGAGTTGAATAGTTTCAGAACTACTTTGACATCTTCGATATTTATCGTCCTGTAGATTGATTTTTTTTATTATGTGCTTGCGGTAATTTTTTGTCTCAATAACCTGGTCTTGAATTGCAAGCATGAATCCTTCTGGTTGAGGAAATAATTCACCGCGTTTTAGCCAGGTGTTGGAGGCATCTTTATCTACGTTTGAATCCATCAAGTCTAAACGGTGGCGCCCATGAAGAGATTTTTGTTGCTATATCTGCACTTTCTCCTGATTTGTCTTCTCAGTCAATTCTACATTAGTTTCTGAAAGGTTAAGAGGAGTGAATTTTTTGTCAGCTTTTACCATAGCCTTATGTAACGA